AATGGAACCTTTGGACTCCTGGTCCAGAAATGGGGAATTTGTACCAACAAAATCTAGCTGGAAACAAAACTTTTCAGAGCATCAGACTATAGGCCATTTTGACAAGAAGCTGTCATTGTGACAGTAAAAAGAGAATGTAAGACAGCCAAAAATAAATTTTTTTCTTAAGCTGGTAAAATACAACCTTGTGGATACAACAGCCTCATAACAGTTCACCAAACCAGACATATCATATTATCATAAAGCTTCAATTGAAAACAATATCAATGACATACTGGACAAGTAAATAAATTATCTATGAACAGCGTGATTCTTTTTATGAGACACTTAGATATAAATATATCAACTAATGTAGAGAGGTGGCCACAATTTGTATGATATTACTACATTTTTTGGCTGAATGTTGATGCCAGGATTATTATGGGCCATATAATAATGGTGGATCCAATATTACATAACTTCACTAAAAAAAAACAATTATTTACTAGGTGATCTTAAATTGTTGGCCACCACTGTACAATACAAAAAAATATGTCAATCTGTTGCCCTTAAAATATACACTCAGCATGTTATAAAAAGGCAGCCAAGGGTTTAGATGTAAGTGGATATCAAAAACATGGAAATGCAGCAGTTGAGTTAGATCACATGCACATGGAACAGAGCAAGTGAAGATAGGAACAGTAGAGATATGTTTGATGGATACACAATAACAAGAAAATACAATTGAAACAATCACAGAAAATATGGACAGTGAGAATAAAATAACTCTGATATTATGAACAAAACATGGATTTCTCTTCCTCTTCTTCGCGTTCACCGTCTGTGAACTCTGGCAGAAAGTTCTGGATGTTCATAAACCTTTGGACTATAGTCTTGCTCCAGTTCCTCAGTATTTTGTGCACATTCCTTTCACAGATCTGGCTTATCTGTATGCAGACCTGTGGTTTTTTTTTTGCCTCTCAGGTAGATGCACTCCGACTTCAAAGGATGTCCCTAATTAGTTGACTCCTACGAGATGTTTGTTGGGAGGCAGTGAGTCTGTTCCTGCTTTCCCCACATTGGGGACCCAGAAACCACACGAGGACAAAAATGGATAAAACATGCCTCTTGAAAGATAATATATTTTAGAAACACCGTACATTTCCCACATATTTATTAAAAACGACTAGAAATGCAGACATAATCTGAGCACATTCCAGTGCAGGTATTTAATATTTCAGCGGCTGCTGATAATGTTTACTACTGTTTTATTACTCTTTACGCATGAATGACATGATGTATAAAAGGAGGCTGATTAGACGGATGTGTGCCCTTTGAAAAAGTTTGTTCGTTTATTTTTTTTTCTTCTTCTTCTTCTGGTAATCTTCTTCTTCTTAGTCGATGCCATGTGGCATTGTTAGTCATGTCTATCCATAACCTTCTGTCTCATGTACTTTTAATCAGTTCTGACACACAGATAATCTTCCATGCCATGACGTCAACTGTTCAGGTCTTCTCTTTTGGTCCCCCTCTGACCCCTTTCAATTTCCTGTCTTGACGATGTACTCCAGTTTTTCTCCTTCTCATGACAGCACCAAAAGATGTAGACTGTCTCCTTCTGATCAGGGCTGTTAGCCAGGTAAAAAAAAAAGGTGCCGGTGTTCACCACACAGGTCTTAAAAAAGGTGCCGGTACTCAACACAGAGTGTCTATTACTGTAGTGATGAAAAACATGCCTTAAAAAGAAGGGAAGGGGGAGGGGTAGGGGGTACCAGTACTGCGAACTGTCAGAAAGAAGCCCTACTTGTTACAGGAACCAAAGGGAGTACCAGTACTGTACTGCCAGAAAGAAGCCCTACTTGTTACAGGAACCATAGGGAGTACCAGTACTGTGAGCTGCCAGAGAGAAAAGCCCAACTTGTTACAGGAACCAGAGGGAATGAGAGAAAGGACAATAACTGATGTTTGACCGATTTGTGAGAAAAAGAACTGGGTTCATACAACTGGAACGTGCACAGAAAAATATACACAAGACATTAAAACAACTCTCAATTGATGGATAAAACATGGAGAAATGTGAACAAAAGATGTATAAACTGGATAAAAGATAGTAACTGCCTTGGTTTGTTTGTTTTTTGTTTTAAACACTGACCTGCAGTGACACTGAAACACAGGGGTTCTCTGTGGCAAAATCTTTCAGCTATTTACCTCACGCACTCAAGTCCAGTAATGTCACAGGAAGTCATGAAGGACAGGGTAATGCTGACAGTCCAGTAATGTCCCAGGAAGTAACAAAGGACAGGGTCATGCTGACAGTCCAGTAATGTCACAGGAAGTCATGAAGGACAGGGTCATGCTGACAGTCCAGTAATGTCACAGCAAGTCATGAAGGACAGGGTAATGCTGACAGTCCAGTAATGTCCCAGGAAGTAACAAAGGACAGAGTCATGCTGACAGTCCAGTAATGTCCCAGGAAGTAACAAAGGACAGGGTCATGCTGACAGTCCAGTAATGTCCCAGGAAGTAACAAAGGACAGGGTCATGCTGACAGTCCAGTAATGTCCCAGGAAGTAACAAAGGACAGGGTCATGCTGACAGTCCAGTAATGTCCCAGCAAGTCACGAAGGACAGGGTAATGCTGACAGTCCAGTAATGTCACAGGAAGTCACGAAGGACAGGGTAATGCTGACAGTCCAGTAATGTCACAGGAAGTAACGAAGGACAGGGTAATGCTGACAGTCCAGTAATGTCACAGGAAGTCATGAAGGACAGGGTAATGCTGACAGTCCAGTAATGTCCCAGGAAGTCATGAAGGACAGGGTAATGCTGACAGTCCAGTAATGTCCCAGGAAGTAACAAAGGACAGGGTAATGCTGACAGTCCAGTAATGTCACAGGAAGTAACAAAGGACAGGGTCATGCTGACAGTCCAGTAATGTCCCAGGAAGTAACAAAGGACAGGGTAATGCTGACAGTCCAGTAATGTCACAGGAAGTAACGAAGGACAGGGTAATGCTGACAGTCCAGTAATGTCACAGGAAGTCATGAAGGACAGGGTAATGCTGACCACATGGCTAAAAGTTCACCATTCCTGCCCTATACATCAATAGTCTTGACAAGGGTTCTTAACTTTTCTTGTTTAAATAACTTGTACAGATGCAAGCAGCCAACGTGATGAGTTGTATACAGTTTAACTTCATGGTAACATGTAACCAAAACAGAACACTACACAGCAAATCTACATGGCAGTCAAGGATTGCACTTGTTTCAATGTAAAATGGGACACTCTGATGTTACCCTGACAAGGAAAAAACTGCAATAGTCATGAAATGTTGACAATGAAAAAAACTGAAACCTGTGTGTACCAAATGAAATTATAAAAGGATGTTAAAAAAAAAAGCATGAAAAGCTACATTAAAAATAGTCACAGTAATTATAAAATGCTACAGTAAAAATGATCACTTAATAATGAATTAGGTTAATTACATAATTAAATATATTAAAAAAGACTACAAACATGGACCAATGATTCTCTACCCTAGTTAGCACAATGTACAGAGCCATCAGCAAATATGTCAGTACTACTCAGCAAATATGTCAGTACTAGTCAGCAAATACATCAGTACTAGTCAGCAAATACGTCAGTACTAGTCAGCAAATATGTCAGTACTAGTCAGCAAATATGTCGTCAGTACTAATTAGCCAATACGTCAGTACTAATCAGCCAATATGTCAGTACAATACATACAGCCAGGTCATGGGCATCACTCTTGTTGCCAGTTTTCTCGTCAAAGATCTAAGGCAGGGATTAGATGTTTAGCCGTTTTCCAAACAGTGCAGCTGTTTCCATTTCAAAACCCATCTTCAGAGTTCAGCTGTTTCTATTTCAAAACCCATCTTCAGAGTTCAGCTGTTTCTGTTTCAAAACCCATCTTCTCAGTGCTGCTGTTTCTGTTTCAAAACCCGTCTACAGAATACTGCTGTTTCTGTCTCACCTACCTTCCCCATAAGGACCCCAGAATCAATATGGGTTTTCTACATCACTCAGCATGCTTGTCAACCATAATGCCCAACATCGAATATATTCACACATCACTCAACATTTACATGAGCCATAATGCACAACATCGAATATATTCACACATCACTCAGCATTACTATGAGCCATAATGCCCAACATCGAATATATTCACACATCACTCAGCATTACTATGAGCCATAATGCCCAACATCGAATATATTCACACATCACTCAACATTTACGTGAGCCATAATGCACAACATCGAATATATTCACACATCACTCAGCATTACTATGAGCCATAATGCCCAACATCTAATATATTCACACATCCCTCAACATTTTCCTGTGTGCCATGATGCCCAAAATCTAATATATTTACACATCACTTAGCATTACTGTGAGCCTCATTCTAATGCATCTACACACAACAACATATCTGCCAACCTCATGTCTGTCTCCCAACATCTGACCCTTTGACAGCCGCAACTCACAACCTATCAACCCATCACAGAGCTAAGACCTTCCATACTATGGCAGCCGAAAACAAATCCCAGTATTTAAAAAAAAAAATTTTTTTTTTTAAACCTAGGCAAAATTTGTAAGTTTCTAAGACTCCTCAAAGCCTTGATCAGAAAACACTGTACTAACCATCTGGCCCTCAATATTAAGGCTTACGTTCCCCACACCTCATCCCCCAAACTAAACCACCATAAAAATGGTAAATACAGGTAGTTAAAATGATGGACTGTGCTGTCTGATTTGCTGAAGATATTTTATCTTCATGTTTTATTTTTGGTTTTTTTCACACTTGATCTGAAGATTGATTTCTACCATCAGGTTTCATGGTAACATTTGGTAACAGTTCTTTCCTCTTTTCTTCTTCGTTGTCTTCCTCATCTTCCTTTGTTTCCTGGATTTCATGAAGCCCAAATCCAACTTTCTCTTCCGCTGGACCTTCTTCATCTCCGTCACCTTTGGCCCATTCCTGAACCTCTCCTTTACCCAACAAAATGTACCTGGGGAAAACAACAATGGGAAAAAATATACATGATCAATGCAATCAAATGGTGAGATCATTAGTAGACTATTAGAATTGTTCTTCTTCTTCTTTATGTTTATTTGCTGTTTATCTCTTTTTAGACTGTGCTCCTGCTCCAGGAATTAAGTGTTGCATGCACAACCATTTTACAGATCTGGCTTATTTGTGTGCAGTCTGCTAGTTCCTCAACTCTCAAGCAGAAGCACTCTGTTCTTACTTTGTTCTTATTTTGACAGAAAAGTCAAACCGGTCCTATCTGTTAACCAGCTCCAGGGTAGACAACCCGTGTCTAGGATGACCACGGAGAGGTGTAGACATGACCTGATAAGTACGAGCCATGGTCCTGTGTCTAGGATGACCACAGAGAGGTTCACATGACCTTAAGTACATCCCAAAATAGTGTGTCACAACACAGCAAAACAAACAGCAGCACAAACAGCAACACAGACAACACAAACAGCAGCACAAACAGCAGCACAAGAATCACAAACAGCAGCACAAACAGCAACACAAACAGCAACATAGCCAACAACACAAACAGCATAATAGCCAACAACACAAACAGCAGCACAAACAACAACACAAACAGCAACATAGCCAACAACACAAACAGCAGCATAAACAACAACACAAAGCAGCAACATAGCCAACAACACAAACAGCAACATAGCCAACAACACAAACAGCAAGCACAAACAACAACACAAACAGCAACATAGCCAACAACACAAACAGCAACATACCACAGAGCTCCAGCACAGTAGACAGCTGCAGCAATGTAGAAGTGTGGACTGCCACTGCTGTCTTGTTCCCTGGGGGAGATAGCAGACCACAGGCTGAAGCAAGTTTGTGGTGTTTTGTGTTCACAGAAAATAACATCACAATAAAGCTGGTTGCTACATTTTCTTTTAAAAAAACAACAGTGGTCTCTCATGCAAGAGACCTAGGTTTGAATCCTCTGTAAGGTTGTGGATATTTGGTCTGTTGGTGGCAAACAAAATCCTAACCTGCACAGTTGTGGCGACTGCTCTAGCCACACAGCCATAAATCCTCCAGCTCAAAGACTCCCACCTACGCTGTAAACATAATAAACACAGGCAGTAACTGGCAGGGGCAATTACATGTTTACCTCGAATGGGTTCAGGGCCCCATTTTGGGGTGGAATGGGGAAGAACAATCCCACAGCCTCCTTTAAAGCATGTCATAAAAAGGCAACTAAATTAGGGTTTTTATGAAAATCAGATACGTTGCTGCAGCTTAGCTATAAATGACTACACAACATGCTAACCGCCCTTTAAAGGTCAGCACAGAAGAAGAGTTGATGACATTATTATTTTTGTAATTATAAGAAATCCTAACGCATAGAACTGATGAGAAAGGCTGCACGAGTGACCATAAGAGATCAAATCAGGAATAATGTCCCAGAAGAAAAATTTGGCACACAGCCATCTATAACTTACATACAAAGACAGCAAATCAAAGAGAGAATAGAGAATGACATGTGATGGCGCACCATACAAGGAGGCATACACCCAAGGAGGAGAAGAACATAAGGCATGAGGTAGACCAAGAACTATATTGATAGACAACATCAAAGAAAACTTGCAACAGCAGAGCCCACAATGGGGTCTTGGAACCCACATAGCTACCTGTTTAACCTTTAGCACCCCACAGTCGAGTATACTGGACTTCCGCCGTTTATCCTGTAGCGTCCCACAGTCGAGTATAGTCGACAACCTTATATGGTCGGGAAAATACGCAATTAAACGGAGCTATGCGTTTGACGTCACTTGAAAACTATAAATAACTATTCTGGAGTGGTTTCACTTCCTCTTTGTCTTGTTTTGATTGCTATCAGACCGAGGGCAGATTTGTGTGAACGATTTTTCTGAGCCAGTACGATTTTGATCACCATCTTTCGAAATGGAAGCCATTTATTCTGAAATCTTCATGGATTCTGACTCTGACGAGGAGATTTTGCCTGTTACTGCAGCCGATATCAGTCGCGAAGTTGATATGTCTGGAGACGTAAGTGAAGTTTCCAGTGTGTCATATTCTTCGGATGAGGAAATTGAGGTGGTAAGTAGTCGTGCTCCCTCTGGTTACAACCATTCTTGGCTTCGCGACTTCTCTGAAGTTGTGGGACCTATAGGCCTACCTGATAATATTAGTGAGGTCGACATGTTTCGTCTGCTTATTACAGATGATATATTGAACATGTTGGTGACCGAGACTAACCGTTACCAGGGGCAGGTTAGGGCCAAGAAGGGGGCAGACGCTAGTTTGTCCCATTCTTTCAAGAAATGGAAGGAAGTCACAGCTGATGATATGAGATCGTTTATTGCTGTGATGCTCCTTATGGGACTTGCACCTCGTTCCTCATATTACTTATATTGGACTACTGAAAGCCTGCTAGAGATGCCTGGGTTCAGGGAGATTATGAGTAGGAATAGGTTTCAGGCTATCCTGTCTTTCCTGCACCTCGTGGACAACACAACTGCTGTACCACGAGGGGACCCTGGGTATAGCAAAGTATTCAAGATTAGACCATTTGTTGATGCTCTTCTTCCTCTGTTCCAGAGGCATTTCAATCCCTCTAAGGAACTCAGTGTTGATGAAAGCATGATAGCTTTCAAGGGCAGGACTAATCTGATGCAGTACATGCCGATGAAACCCTCTAAGTGGGGTATGAAGGCTTGGGCGCTGGCTGACTCCAAGACGGGCTACCTCTGGAATTGGCAGCTGTATCTTGGGAAGGAAGACACCCATGACCCTACCCAAGGTTTGGCACATAGAGTTGTGACTTCCTTGGTTGCCCCTCTGTATGGAAAGGGTCATGTTGTGTACATGGACAATTTCTTTTCCTCTCCAGTCCTTTTCAAGGAGCTTGCCGCAAATCAGACGGGCGCTTGTGGCACACTGCGATCTAATCGCAGAGGAGTACCCGCGGCTGTCAAGGCTGCAAAACCTAAGGCTGGTGAACACCCCATCACTGCAAGAGATGATAACCTTCTCTACATTTCATGGTGTGACAAGAGGCCTCTCAATTTGATAACAACTGCACACGATGACAACACCTTTGAGAATCCCGTCCGATCCAAACATCATGTTGCCAATGTGCGGGTCGTGACTAAGCCATGTGCTGTAGAGTCCTATACTCGTCATATGGGAGGTGTGGACCGCCTTGACAAGCAACTAACATGCTATTTGTTAGCCCACAGGACCTGCAAGTGGTGGAAAAAAATTTACTTCTATCTCTTAGAAGCTTGTTTTGTGAACTCGCTTGTCCTGTGGAGGGCCAAATATCCTGGCCGAGTCAAGGCGGAGAAATTCCGTGTGGAGATTGCTCGTGGGCTTCTTGCTTTGAACCAGCCTAGAGCCAGCAGCAGCTTCCATGGTAGAAGAGCCAGTGATCCAGCTGCTAGAATATCGGCTTCACACTATACCGCTCTCAATCCAAAGCGATTGAAGACTGGCAAACATGCACTTGGTGACTGTGCGGTGTGCTCAGACAGACATAAAAAGCGTCACCAAACGACATATGTCTGTGCCACTTGCCATGTTAGTTTGTGCCCTCATCCCTGTTTTGGGAGATACCATTCTCTTGTGAATTACAAGAAAGATTGCTGTAAGGAGCTGCATAACTAATTGGTGAGTCTTTATGTTTGTACTGTTTTTTTTTTTTTTTAAATTTTTCCCATTTCACTCTGTCCTCACACATCACCTATCAAACATACACCAACAAAACTCATATCAATGTATGCAGAAATCATTTCTTTATTTCAGTTTAAATAATTATGCAAAACTATTCATAAACCAAAAAGTTATTGTGTTTTCCATGTTTCCTCCATAAAAAACGTGAAATGTGAAAAAATAAGGTGGGAGGCAAGGGAAATAATTTGAATTTTTATTGTGGGGTGCTAAAGGTTAATGATAATGTAACCAAGAATATCTACTCAGATAAAGCTGACGTTCAAGTTAAGAGACTCAGATCTCTTCGCAGAGTGGCGAGCAACCTAACATAAAGCACAAACACTACAGCTGCAGCGACAATCACCAGAAATCTCGTCAAAAACTATACTCATGGACTGAGCTGCACATCCATGGCACGAACCCGCGGCCTCAGGGGCATGTGGCAAATGGCTTGATCACGTCGCCATGGAGACCCCTAAATACTATGACTTATCACTAAGAAATGTCAGATAGCTGGCTGACTGCTGGTGCTCTCAAAAGAAATTTGTTTCCAGCCAGTTTTGCTGATACAAATTTCCCATTTCTGAACCATAAGTGCATAAGTTTTGTCACCCAGTTACTGAGCTGAATGCTTGGTGCGACACTGTGAGCAATGGATTTCATGAGGGATTGTTTCTCTTTTTTTTTTCTGTTGTCTCAGTGACATGTAGTTGACTGTATAAAATTGGTGGGTGGCTGATTACATTCAGAATGGCATGTATTTTTACAGGTGCAATGCCAGTTTTAATGACTGACCATCTGCACCAACAGCAAGCTGCATTTCTGGTATAGGACTGTTAGTATTGGCACATCCAACAGCTTTCTTACGCATTTCTACTGTGCTTGCATGTGCAAGCTTCAAGATTTTGCTAGTACTGACAAGTAGTTCACTAGTTTTCACATGGGACAGTGAAGAACATTTTGTGTGATCTCCACTGGCAGAAGAACGGAGCAGTTCTGAGGCGACCTGTCTGCACTGATGTTAGGACCTTGACTAACAACTAACCGAATACTAAGCTAACAACAAAGATGATGAAAATGACACTTAAGATGATGATGATGATAGTAGTAAGAATGATAATGGGGTGACAACGATTCTGATAACCAAGGAACATACCTGCTTAGTCATGGCCGAGACCACGTAAGGTGAAAATATGCCAGGTATTGTAGCCATCATGTTGGACACACCAAACAGAGTTCCGGCAAACTGTGGGGCGATGTCTCCGTGGTTGATGAAGTAGCCAGAGAAGTGGAAACCACACAGCCCCACGGAAATGGTCAGCATCACCACTGCTTCCACCTGCTGGTCACACTCCATGAACCCGGCACCCACCAGAAAGACCGCCGGACCCAGCATACCTGCAATAATAAACATCATTCTGTTTAGCACTCTCAATGACTAGCAACAATAAAAGTAACATCTCTTTGCAAGCTTTTCACAGCAGATCCTTTGCAGAAGGTTGCTCTCATCACGGTCTGTCTGAAATGTCTCTCTCTTTTTCTCTAGCCAATTCTCCAGCCCTATGTGCTTTCACACCCAGTACATATTCAATGTCTGGCATCCACTTTGTGGAGGTCTGCCTCTGCTTCGTTTGTGGGAAGCTTCTTCTTCTTCTTCAACTCCAACTTCAAAGGAAGCTCCCAATTCGTCGACTTTTACGATTTATGCTCGTAGGGAAGGCAGTGAGTCAATTCTTGTTTTCCCAGCCATGGCATCCTAGAACCCCACTAGAAGTTTGCCCGAAATTCTAACCCTCCATCATCGTGTCCAGGTCACCATGATGGATTTTTTCCCAGGTTCCTTCTCAGAATATATAATGCTGGTAACATGTAAATGTAAACCCAAGTCCTTAAGTTTGCAGGGAAACCCCTCATCACTGGACTTCCACAGCTCCCTATCTTTGGGGGTTAGTAAACCAGTTTTGTTCCTCTTTCTGTAAAACTTTGATTCCACTGTCATCACAACACAAGGAGGTATCAACTGTTATCTTCTTTTGATTCTTAGTAAAGTAAAGTAAAGGACCCTTTTCTACGTCTTTCAGGCGTACTGGGTATATAAGGCTAGACCTATATTTCTATAGACCAGCGGCACAAGATGGGTGATGTGGTCCGCATCACGTCTGCTGCTTCTAACTTCCCAAGACTGCACCTGGTACCCACTCAAAGCTGCGTCGACCTGGGAGCAAAGGTCATTTTTTTTTTTGAAGTCCGGCTCTGATAGGAAGCAAACCCACGACCTTCCGATCCACAGATGAGCGTCTAGCCGCTACGCCACAGATTGTAAGTGCATGAAATTATTTGTTGGAAGTATGATCTGATTACTTTTTCTTTCTGCTGCTTCTTCATTGTTTGTCTGTCTGACGTAGCAGCGCTCTACCTGTTGACAGCACAGCTGTGTTCTGTGTGCCTTTTGGCTGAAATGTCCCAACTTCATCAGGAATTTTATTAAGTTCGCTTTTGTTTGTTTTTCAGCATAAAAATGAATCATGGAAAGAACACGGTGTGGCATCTCCTGCTGACACAAGGGGGTACCTACCAATGGTGGTCATGAGTTTCCTGGTCCAGGCAATGGAGAGGATTTCCCTGGAGATGAGTAGGTCGGCCAGCATGCCACTAAGGCTGATGACAAACCAGAAGGTTAAGTATGGTACCATGGAGACTGCCCCATTCTGTGGATAGTTCACAATGGATAGTTATTTTAATACTTTACAAACGCACATGGAAAACACTATTTTGTGGATAGTTCACAACGGATATAGCTATTATAATATTGTAAACACACCTACAGAAAATACCATTCTGTGGATAGTTCAGAATGAATAAGGCCATTTTAACATTGGAAAAAAAAACATATAGAAAAAATGTTATGTGGACAGTTCACAATGGATATAACCATGTTAACAACATAAACAATGACATGCAAACACATGGGTCCACACTACTTGTGCTCCGTCCTCTGAAGCACCAGCCTTCTTAATGTCTCCATGCCCAATGTACCTATTAGGAACTGACTGGCATATCTTCTATCATCACCCGGCCACTGGTTTCTGCATGCTTGTCCTGGTGTGATACCCATTTCCAACAGGTGGTTCACATTTGACTCTGTTGTCTCAACAACTCTGGAACACAGCGCATTCATTATGCCTGCCCAGTTCATACTTTTCCTCCCCTTACCACTGCAGACACGTCCAGTCTGTCAGCTCTTTCCTTCCCTTTCACCACAGCATCTCCTAGTGAGTACAGCCAACACAGTTTCTAGAGATGGGACTTCTGAATGCTGTCAACCTATTCTATTCTGAATTTACCGGTTTAGATATTCTTAGATGTGCTCGCTGAGTCTGTTGCTATCTGTTCCTGTGACAGCTGCTATCTCCAGCATTTCTCAAAATTATAGAGACAGAAAACTGCAGAAAGACCACAATAAAATGTGTAGGCAAGAGTTAACACAGAGATGAACGAATGAACTTCCAAAGGGTTACAAATTGGGCACACCGGCCTGTCTTACATTCTGCCCTTCCAAGCATCCATCATATGTTAAAATTCACTGTATAAATGTCAATTAGAACACACCACCCTTACACACCGACAGGGGCACACATTGATGACACACACACAAGATGAGTCAGGGTGTGGTATCAGGTTCATTTCAGCCTGTACCTCACAAGGAGCTAAAAACGCAGAAGATGACAGACGTCAAAGCTCTAGGCAAATTCAAAACATCGACATCCTAAGTTGGTCTGGGTAAAGATTCTCCTCCTTTTCTTCTTCTTTGTTCACCAGATGTAAGTTAGGATGGAAAGTCCTGCTCTTGTTTTGTGTGTGTGTGTGGTCTGTCTGGACCTTGTATTTGTGCCAGGGCTTGAGTTTTGTGGGTAAATCTGTTTTAATGACTTATTTTTGTGCAGTTGGTTTGTCCTTTCCACTTGAGCAGATGCACTTAAACTTGGAAGGAAGCTCTCAGTCAACTCCTACGACATGCTCGTTTGAAAAGGCAGTGAGTCTATTCTTGTTTTCCTCAAAATGGGGGTCCCCGAACCCACACGAGTGATCACAGCATTCAGGTTTAGGTTTAGATGATGGATCAACATCCTGGCACAAGGGTAGTTACCCATAAGTGCTCCGTTCTACTTCTGACTCGAGCCCGAGTCCGAAAAATCGCAACACAGTGCACGAACTCCGTAGCAACGGCGAAGATCCTGAAATACTTTGGGTAGATTTGTAGCTCCAAATTTTGCATGTTAGGCTTCTCTTTTCCGATTTACAACTGCCAAGGGATTTCTTTCGTATTGTATTAGTTTACAGCTAGGCTGCGATATCTGTGCCTCTCTGTCCAAAGCATCTGATTTCAGCAAAACCCCTAACTATTCTCTTTTGTAGGAAAGGGGGAAGAAAGAAAAGGTTAGCAAATACATCAGTACTAGTTAGCAAATACGTCAGTACTAGTTAGTTAGCATCACTAGTCATTCCCCACCCCCCTACCCACAATAAACAGGCCCCAACACCTACAGTGGGAATGAAGCTTAACAAATCTGAATATTGGTTTAGTCTTTTGAAAATGGGCTTGTTTAATTTTTATTTATTAATTTTTATTTTGTAATGATGAATACTCACAGCCTTGATGTCAAACTTGAGAACTTCCTTCATGTAGGCCGGCAGTTTAGTCAGCAACATGTAGGCTCCGTAATTGCCACACGTGTGGGCCACCACGATCGCCCAGACTGCAGGTGAGGTCAGAATGGACTTCCAGGGGACGTTCTTGCGCTGCAAATAAACCATTTATAACAACTAACGTTAGCAGTGAGAAAACTCACAACTGTCATTATGGTGGTTATGATGATGGTGTAGCCGGTTATGTGATGGAGACAATGGTGCTGATTTTTTTCTTTGTGTATATACCGGCTGTAAACTCTGGTGGAAAGATCTGGTTTCTTTACAGAACTTTGCTCCCGTCATGGCAGGCTTGAAAGTCTCTCTTTATCTAGTCTATTCTCCAGCATTACGTGCTTTCATAGCCTATGCAGTTTCGTTGTTTCTATATCCACATTCACTGAGGTCTGCCTCTAGAAAGTTCTCTCAAAGCAGCGGCCATGATGTTTAACTTGGCCATAATAGCTCAGCTTTCAACACAGGATGCTGTTTATGAGCCACTTCTAGTCGGTATTCAGATCATTTAGGATGTCAGTGTTTGTCTTCTACTTGGTCCATGGTTTTCTAAGAATCTTTCTGCGGCATTTCAGTTCAAAAAGTATATAAACTCTCAATGTAAAAGTGCTGCAGTAACAGCCATCTAGAACTAGAAGAGTTCAGTCCCCTTGCGTATCCAGGGGCCCATAGTTTGAAGGAAACAAGAACAGACCGACACAGGTCCCTTAACCAGCATGTCATACAAGGCGACCAATGAGGGGTTTCCCTTCAGAGTCGGAGTGCTTCGACCTGAGAGGTGAGGAACCAGAAACCTGCACATAAGTAAGCCCGATCTGTAAAACTGATGTGCACGCAAAACTCAAATTCTGGAACAAGACGATATATATCTGGTAATCTGGTAATTTTAATTTCAGCTTCATAGCAAACGGGTCACCCCATCTTTGCTCCGCTCCTGTGCCAACGAAAAACGCACAGAATGTTTATCACAGCCCCTTGTGGAAAGACTGACAAACTGCTCTCTCAGCAAATCTAGCATACACTCGCATTAAAAGCATATGGTAGCCATCCGAAGTGCTAACACAAACAGTCCGATGTTAGAAATGCAGTTCATCATTGATGGTAGCAGAAGTCATTAAAAGATTAGCAGTTGCACACGCGATCAATTTTAATCAAATAATGGCTTCACCAATATTGCGACAACCGGCATTCAGCCATTTTCTGAATCTACAAATCACACCACCACGTTGGTCAGCCGAAAAACATTCCAAATGAAATCGGCAGCTCACAGTGTCATGCCATGCACTCAACTCAGAGGCTGGGCAACGAAACTATATACTTCCAGTCTACAAATGGAGCAAAAAAGCAACGGCCACAGTCTGGCTGAAGTAAAAATGTTTGCCTCAGCTCAAAACAGTGGCAGTGCCTAGTGTTCAATTGGACCTGACGTATTATGTGAGGGTTAATAAACTGTCACCCCAGCAGTACCCTACTATTAGCTGGGGAAGGGATTTAGGACATTACATCCACCAGCAAGCCTCACCCCAACAACGACCTGACTGCCTTCGTTAATGACTGTTCACCGAACAGCCATGCAGTTCTTTGGTACGAAGGAGACACCTTGAACTTGGGTTTCGAACTGCCGACTCCCTACACGAAGATATATGTGTGCTACTTGTGTCCTGTAGATAAAATACTATCTTACTGTATTACTAAAATTCAGCACGCATTCTCAAACGCGCAGTAGTTAAAGAAAACACACACACACATACATACACTCATTACCTGCCATCCGCTTGCTTGCTGGTGCAGCACACATGACTACATATTTATATAAGTATATATATATATATATATCGGGAGAGGGAGAGGGTGAGACAAGGGAAGAATCATGCCGAATGATCACAAATATGTAAGACACTGACACAGGGAATTCCCTATGCACACAAGGTCGGCATGACTGGCTCCAAGAAGTGGACAGTAAATTCAAATGGCTCAGTCTGATTAGATACAGTCCCTGCTGTGACAGAAAGTTGGCTGTAATAAAGGACTGCCGTAGAAAGGTGCACCCAAGGGACGGTTTCAGAAAGAGATGCATACTTTGTGGTAGGGTAACAATGCTTGAACAATGTATTCTGCAAGCCACCAGAGGTTGCATTCACATTTTCTAGGTTCTAACAATAGTAATACACTAGCGATGACTAATTATAATCATTAACAGCTCAGCCAATACATACATAAATCGGTGTAGACAGAAAGAGAGAGAGAGAGAGAGAGAGAGAGGGATCACTGCGTAACTAATTACAGCAAAAGTATAGCGTTCATCGAGTCTTCTGTTTCGATATCCAAACGTGCTTGTTGTCAGCCATACAGTTTTTGCGTGCATCGATCAAGGCCAGAGAACAGCAAATCAAGTGCTGTGTCTCTACGTTCATTTCTAGGTGGCCACATGGTCACAGATAGAACTGTTGTAGAGCCTATATACGATATATATATAGTCCAGAGGTGGACAAACCTAACAGAACTTTCTGCTGGAGTTTACAGCCGGTCACTGTGAAGAAGAAGGAGGAGCAGAAGCAGCAGAAGAAGAAGAAAAAGAAGAAGAAGAAGAAGAAGAAGAAGAAGAAAGAGTTACCATATTTCCCTAAATATACAATTATCAAAATATAAAGTGCACCTTGATTTTGTGACTGAAAATTTGGAAACAAACAATATGATTATACAAAGTTGTTGAACTCACATTTTATTCATCCTAGAATCCAAAAAACTCATCATTATCAAAACTCTCATCCATATGATAGTTCTCTAGCTTGTCCTCATCTGTATCTTCTGACAATCAATGCCTTCATATATTACCTCATCATCAGTTCCATCTGTGGCATCTGAAATGCTATGCTTCTTAAATCACTTGACAATGATCTCAAACTTCACATTATCCCAGTATCATTACAGCCAGGTAATCTTCTCTCTACAGTTAGTTTCTTCACACTGCCAGCTGGTGTCCCAGTGTCCCCCAGAAGACTTCATTCATTGGTTCCATTCGTCTCTCATGGCAACTGTGAAGGGTTTGTTAATGCTAACATCAATAGTTGAAGCTGGAATGTCAAGCCTCCAGGTATGACGGGCAAGTTGTGTTTTCTTCTCTGCAGTAATCTTTTCTGTATGTGTCCTGAACTGATCAAGCCTCACTAGGTGCTATGTCGCTCCTGAACCAGCATTACCAAATGAGGCCCTGGACAGGATATTTTATAACAAATCATTTGGTAAATACAACATGAAAATCGAAACAACAAGAGGCAGGGGAAGACCAAGAAGAAGATGGATTGAAGGAGTCACGGACAACTTGAGACTTCATAACATCACGGCATATGAAGCGACTGAGCGCGCCCTGGCTCGGTTGCCGATCATCTGATAGACTGCGACGCCTAGCGGCACAAGCAGATTTTGACAAAAGAAGAAGATTTGGTAAAAATCTACTACCATTGTATAAGATGCACTCTATTTTTAGACCCTATATTTTTGGAAAAGAAGTGTTTCTTCTATCTGGAAAAATATGTTAAGACAGAAAAATATCAGATACTGGCTCACCTTCTTTGTTTTTGTCTGCTCTCCCAGAGAATACTTGATATACTTTTTCTCCAGATCACTGATACTCTTATCATCATCGGGTGTATCATGAGCAAGGATCACCCAGCACACACACCAGATAAACCCAGTGCCACCTGTCAGATTCATCATGTCAGCAAATACATCACCACCGGGGTCAAAGTTCATGGTTATTTGACTATTTAAAAAAGGTAATTGTCTTTTGCTCTCTGAGCTCCAGAGGGTTGAGCATCAGAGGTCCAAGGGGTGGTAAAGAGAGACGTAAAATAGACACATCTTGCGTTCATTTGGTTTTTTTAGGTAAAAAGCAATGAACATATGATGTGTTCCCTGGGACGGAGAGAGTTAGGGGGAAAGTGGGGGGGGGAGGGAGGGGGGGATGAGCCTCTAGATTTCTTCTTCTTTTGTTGACCGGCAGTAAACTCACATGGAAAGTTCTTGTTACACATGCTTTATTGTTACCTTAGTCTTGTTACACATGCTTTATTGTTACCTTAGTCTTGTTACACATGCTTTATTGTTACCTTAGTCTTGTTACACATGCTTTATTGTTACCTTAGTCTTGTTACACATGCTTTATTGTTACCTTAGTCTTGTTACACATGCTTTATTGTTACCTTAGTCTTGTTACACATGCTTTATTGTTACCTTAGTCTTGTTACACATGCTTTATTGTTACCTTAGTCTTGTTACACATGCTTTATTGTTACCTTAGTCTTGTTACACATGCTTTATTGTTACCTTAGTCTTGTTACACATGCTTTATTGTTACCTTAGTCTTGTTACACATGCTTTATTGTTACCTTAGTCTTGTTACACATGCTTTATTGTTACCTTAGTCTTGTTACACATGCTTTATTGTTACCTTAGTCTTGTTACACATGCTTTATTGTTACCTTAGTCTTGTTACACATGCTTTATTGTTACCTTAGTCTTGTTACACATGCTTTATTGTTACCTTAGTCTTGTTAAACATGCTTTATTGTTACCTTAGTCTTGTTACACATGCTTTATTGTTACCTTAGTCTTGTTACACATGCTTTATTGTTACCTTAGTCTTGTTACACATGCTTTATTGTTACCTTAGTCTTGTTACACATGCTTTATTGTTACCTTAGTCTTGTTACACATGCTTTATTGTTACCTTAGTCTTGTTACACATGCTTTATTGTTACCTTAGTCTTGTTACACATGCTTTATTGTTACCTTAGTCTTGTTACACATGCTTTATTGTTACCTTAGTCTTGTTACACATGCTTTATTGTTACCTTAGTCTTGTTACACATGCTTTATTGTTACCTTAGTCTTGTTACACATGCTTTATTGTTACCTTAGTCTTGTTACACATGCTTTATTGTTACCTTAGTCTTGTTACACATGCTTTATTGTTACCTTAGTCTTGTTACACATGCTTTATTGTTACCTTAGTCTTGTTACACATGCTTTATTGTTACCTTAGTCTTGTTACACATGCTTTATTGTTACCTTAGTCTTGTTACACATGCTTTATTGTTACCTTAGTCTTGTTACACATGCTTTATTGTTACCTTAGTCTTGTTACACATGCTTTATTGTTACCTTAGTCTTGTTACACATGCTTTATTGTTACCTTAGTCTTGTTACACATGCTTTATTGTTACCTTAGTCTTGTTACACATGCTTTATTGTTACCTTAGTCTTGTTACACATGCTTTATTGTTACCTTAGTCTTGTTACACATGCTTTATTGTTACCTTAGTCTTGTTACACATGCTTTATTGTTACCTTAGTCTTGTTACACATGCTTTATTGTTACCTTAGTCTTGTTACACATGCTTTATTGTTACCTTAGTCTTGTTACACATGCCTTTATTGTTACTTTATTGTTACCTTAGTCTTGTTACACATGCTTTATTGTTACCTTAGTCTTGTTACACATGCTTTATTGTTACCTTAGTCTTGTTACACATGCTTTATTGTTACCTTAGTCTTGTTACACATGCTTTATTGTTACCTTAGTCTTGTTACACATGCTTTTATTGTTACCTTAGTCTTGTTACACATTCTTTATTGTTACCTTAGTCTTGTTACACATGCTTTATTGTTACCTTAGTCTTGTTACACATGCTTTATTGTTACCTTAGTCTTGTTACACATGCTTTATTGTTACCTTAGTCTTGTTACACATTCTTTATTGTTACCTTAGTCTTGTTACACATGCTTTATTGTTACCTTAGTCTTGTTACACATGCTTTATTGTTACCTTAGTCTTGTTACACATGCTTTATTGTTACCTTAGTCTTGTTACACATGCTTTATTGTTACCTTAGTCTTGTTACACATGCTTTATTGTTACCTTGGTCTTGTTACACATGCTTTATTGTTACCTTAGTCTTGTTACACATGCTTTATTGTTACCTTAGTCTTGTTACACATGCTTTATTGTTACCTTAGTCTTGTTTGTACACATGCTTTATTGTTACCTTGGTCTTGTTACACATGCTTTATTGTTACCTTGGTCTTGTTACACATGCTTTATTGTTACCTTAGTCTTGTTACACATGCTTTATTGTTACCTTAGTCTTGTTACACATGCTTTATTGTTACCTTGGTCTTGTTACACATGCTTTATTGTTACCTTGGTCTTGTTACACATGCTTTATTGTTACCTTAGTCTTGTTACACATGCTTTATTGTTACCTTAGTCTTGTTACACATGCTTTATTGTTACCTTAGTCTTGTTACACATGCTTTATTGTTACCTTAGTCTTGTTACACACGCTTTATTGTTACCTTAGTCTTGTTACACATGCTTTATTGTTACCTTAGTCTTGTTACACATGCTTTATTGTTACCTTAGTCTTGTTACACATGCTTTATTGTTACCTTAGTCTTGTTACACATGCTTTATTGTTACCTTAGTCTTGTTACACATGCTTTATTGTTACCTTAGTCTTGTTACACATGCTTTATTGTTACCTTAGTCTTGTTACACATGCTTTATTGTTACCTTAGTCTTGTTACACATGCTTTATTGTTACCTTAGTCTTGTTACACATGCTTTATTGTTACCTTAGTCTTGTTACACATGCTTTATTGTTACCTTAGTCTTGTTTACACATGCTTTATTGTTACCTTAGTCTTGTTACACATGCTTTATTGTTACCTTAGTCTTGTTACACATGCTTTATTGTTACCTTAGTCTTGTTACACATGCTTTATTGTTACCTTAGTCTTGTTACACATGCTTTATTGTTACCTTAGTCTTGTTACACATGCTTTATTGTTACCTTAGTCTTGTTACACATGCTTTATTGTTACCTTAGTCTTGTTACACATGCTTTATTGTTACCTTAGTCTTGTTACACATGCTTTATTGTTACCTTAGTCTTGTTACACATGCTTTATTGTTACCTTAGTCTTGTTACACATGCTTTATTGTTACCTTAGTCTTGTTTTACACATGCTTTATTGTTACCTTAGTCTTGTTACACATGCTTTATTGTTACCTTAGTCTTGTTACACATGCTTTATTGTTACCTTAGTCTTGTTACACATGCTTTATTGTTACCTTAGTCTTGTTACACATGCTTTATTGTTACCTTAGTCTTGTTACACATGCTTTATTGTTACCTTAGTCTTGTTACACATGCTTTATTGTTACCTTAGTCTTGTTACACATGCTTTATTGTTACCTTAGTCTTGTTACACATGCTTTATTGTTACCTTAGTGTTAACACATCTTTATTGTTACCTTAGTTTTCATGCAGGGACTTTATTGTTACCTTAGTCTTGTTACACATGCTTTATTGTTACCTTAGTTTTGTTCAGGGACTTGAGTGTTGCATGCACATCCACTTCACAGATCTGACTTATTGGTGAGCTGACTGCTGATTCCTTGCCTCAGAGACAGATGCACTTCTCGGACTATGAAGACAATGTTGCTTCTATCTACACAGGCCAGGTCTCCAATCATCCTCATAATCATCACCAAGTGCCTTGCCACGGGCCCAGGCTTTCATCCATCACCACAGGTCTCAGTCCTTGATGTTCTGGGTCAATTCCACTAATGATATTCCTCCATGCCCCTGTCTTGAGAGATCCACCATCATTTTTCTAGAGTAAAAACTACTTATTTTTGTTCTTCTTCTGACTTTGTTCACCGGCTGTAAGCTCCAGCAGGAAGTCCTGGTAGTTCATCCCTTTGGACTTAAGCTTTGTACCACGGCCTTGGGTACATCTGTTTTACTGGCTTATCTGTGTGCAGTTAGTTGTTTACTGTTGCTCGGGGAGAATGACTCCCACTTTGAAGTCGTCCCCAATTCGTCCCCTCCTACGACCTGCTTGTGGAGGAGTCAGTAAGTCTATTGTTGTTTTCCCCCACAATGTGGCCTCAAACTCACCTGGGACAATGTGGCCTCAAACTCACCTGGGGACAGGAAAACCAGACAGAAAAACTACACTTAAATCTTCTGACATTCAGGTAGAAACATGGGAGGCTGTTGCAAAATAGCCTTCTGGTTGGCATACAGAGAAGAAAGAACGATCAAGATACATCAGTAACTGCATCAGGCAAGCACTATGTAATGTCCCTGCAGAATTGGATTCATTAGTAACATTTGAACCATAAGAAAATGGAATTAGGCAACATTTGTCCACAAAATACATGACTGTTTGAGAGAAAGGAACCATAAGACCCGCACCGCTTCTGTAACTTTCATCTGTTGTCCGCACTATTCAAGAAATGTCCCTGCTCAAATTGGATTCATTAGTAACATTTGTTATCTGCATTATTCAAGAAATGTCCCTGCTCAAATTGGATTCATTAGTAACATTTGTTATCTGCACTATTCAAGAAATGTCCCTGCTCAAAATGGATTCATTAGCAACATTTGTTATCCGCACTATTCAAGAACTGTCCCTGCTCAAATTGGATTCATTAGCAACATCTGTTATCAGCACTATTCAAGAAATGTCCCTGCTCAAAATGGATTCATTAGCAACATGTGTTCTCACAATTACAGATCATGACTGTTTTAGATGCTAAACAGCCCGCATGACTTGAAATGGTTGAGCATCATATTGCAGTAAAAATGTAGACACAGGAACACGTCAACTCCTCTAATGCAATGTAACTTACCAACAAAGTAGAACACTGATGGCCAACCACCATCAAAGCCATACGCACACAGCAGACCTCCAATAGGAAAGATTATGGCATTACCAAACTGTCCTCCTGAAACAGAAGATTATTGAAGTAAGAACATATTTTTGTTTTAAATGGGATGAATTCAAGAAAGGTGAAGCAATTAGAGAAATGTCAGCACTACTGCTGGTACTGACAGACAAGTCACAAGTCAGCAGACCATATATCAAACGGCTGGGTCATGAGCAGAGAAAGACAGAGCAGACCATATATCCGGTCAAATGAGCAGAGCACTGAAATGGAAACAGGCACTGAAATGGAAAACATATGGACTGATGAAACAAGGGCATCCAAGAGAAATCCTAAGTGGATTGTGATAATAAAACAACTGCACCAGATAGCATAGAATGGAGGATATGTAAAGGCACAACAGTGGATGTCTAAAGTACTTGAGCAAGCCTTACAATAGTAAAAGTTAAGGTCCCTTTTCCACGCCTTTAGGCGTATAGGGCTAGACCTATATTTTTATAGACCAATCAGCACAAGATGGGTGATGTGGTCAGCATCACGCCGGCCGCCGTTACTTTCCGGGACTGCACCCAGTACCCATTCAAGGCTGGGTCGACCTGGGAGTCAAGGTCATTTTTTTAAAAAAGTCCGGCTCCACCAGGGAGCAAACCCACAACTTTCCGATCCACATGTGAGCATCTAGCCGCTACACCATGGCGACTCTCCTTACAACAGTGGTTTCATTATGAAAAACAGTGGATGTCTAAAGTACCTGAACAAGCCTTACAACAGTGGATGTCTAAAGTACCTGAACAAGCCTTACAACAGTGGATGTCTAAAGTACCTGAACAAGCCTTACAACAGTGGATGTCTAAAGTACCTGAACAAGCCTTACAACAGTGGATGTCTAAAGTACCTGAACAAGCCTTACAACAGTGGATGTCTAAAGTACCTGAACAAGCACAACAGTGGATGTCTAAAGTACAACAGTGGAACAGTGGATCTAAAGTACCTGAACAAGCCTTACAACAGTGGATGTCTAAAGTACCTGAACAAGCCTTACAACAGTGGATGTCTAAAGTACCTGAACAAGCCTTACAACAGTGGATGTCTAAAGTACCTGAACAAGCCTTACAACAGTGGATGTCTAAAGTACCTGAACAAGCCTTACAACAGTGGATGTCTAAAGTACCTGAACAAGCCTTACAACAGTGGATGTCTAAAGTACCTGAGCAAGCCTTACAACAGTGGATGTCTAAAGTACCTGAACAAGCCTTACAACAGTGGATGTCTAAAGTACCTGAGCAAGCCTTACAACAGTGGATGTCTAAAGTACCTGAACAAGCCTTACAACAGTGGATGTCTAAAGTACCTGAACAAGCCTTACAACAGTGGATGTCTAAAGTACCTGAACAAGCCTTACAACAGTGGATGTCTAAAGTACCTGAACAAGCCTTACAACAGTGGATGTCTAAAGAACCTGAGCAAGCCTTACAACAGTGGTTTTGTTCTGTTTATGTTTCTAAAGGATCAACTTCATCTTTTGCATGCAGATTCTGCTGTGACCCATTCTTCATCTGAGGATGATCAGTGTGGCTGTGTAATCATGCTGTAGTCCGGAATTTCAAATGAAAAGACTTTCAGGAAGAAAAGCTGGTTTAGTTTCCAATGACCAAATGTTAAAAAGGTTATGTTCTTGGCATCAAGTTTTCCATTCTTCTGCATTATGTAAAGTAAAATAAAATGAACCAGATAAACACACAAAAGCAACTTTAATAAAAGCTTATAAAAAGGACCATTTTCATACCTTTGGTATATTGGGTACACAGTGTGAGAACCTGTTACAGACTCATTGGGATTTGATGGGTGATGCTGTAGCATCACCCCTTTACTTCCCAGGACATTACCTGGTACCCATTTTAGGCTGGGATTACCTAGGAGAAAAGGTATTTTTTCTTTTACAAATCTGTCTTCATACGGATTTGAACCCTTCACCTCTGGGCTTACATGCTGGCTTCTAGCTGATATGCAACTGCATTTTAAGAGAACTTAGCCTTTTTCTTTGGTTCTTCTAGCATCAAAATACCTGTCTAACTCACCAGCATATGAGAAGCCAATCAGCCGACTCCTCTCATTGGGCGGGGCCCAGTTAGCCCACAAAGCCTGGCCAGCCGGATACATCACACCCTGGAAATAGGAGTACTGTCATTTCAAAACAGATGCCAAACTCCAAGCAACAATCTGCTCACAGTATACCTATACAGTTATATCTAGGACTGTTTTCTTTTTTTTTTTAAAGTGCCGGTTCCCACTATGTGTCTTTAGAAAGTGTCTATTTTATAAAAGTGCTGCGGGTTATATCTAAAAAACAGTCCAGATATAAGTAGAGGTAATACTACTAGCAAGGCTCTGGGTGACGCTTGGATGCAAGCAGTAAAAGTCAACACAAAATGCGGATATGATTAAATATTTGAAACAACACGTGAGTGCAGAAATATACAATAAAAATGTTTTTATGAGAGAAAAAAGAAATGGAGATAAAGAGGATGAAGAGCAAATATGGGAGGAGGTAGGAAAAGCAGTAGGAGGATGTGGGAAAAGTAGAGGAGGGGAAGGAGAGGAGCCTGAAGGAGGAAAGTGAACAGGTGAAACGAAGTAGAAACAGATGAGAATGGGAGCAAGAAAATTGAGGTAGCTGTGAGCAGAGGGGGATTGGAGAATGGAAGAAGAAGAAAGGATAAAGGAATGACAGAAGAAGTACTGAAAATAAGACAATTGAAAAAAGAAAAATTTAGAAGATGACTAAGGAAAACAAGGAGTGGGAAGTGACAGAAAAGGAGAAGATGGAGCAGAAAAAAATAAACACATGAGATGTTTGAGACAATGCTCACCTCTCCGAGACCAACAAAGACTCGAACCACCAGAAACAGGTATGGACTGGTCCTGGCTGCTATAGGAGACAATATGTTGAGAATTGCCACAGGAAACATGGCAATCGCGATCACCCGCTTTGCACCAAACCTGTCCAAATATAAGTGAAAATGCATGCATTATATGTGCATAATTTTGATCAACAAGGACAGACAATGAATTTTATAATTTAACTGTACATGTTACGTGCACAATTCCAGTGAATCAAGTGGTGAAAATCTTCTTGTTAGTGTTCGACAGTTTTACACTCTAACGTAAAATTCTAATTGTTCGTCCACTTCTAGATTTTGATCTTATTCCTGAACTTGAGTTGTGTGCAGATTCATTTTACATCCAGCAAACTACTGGTTTCTTACCTCTCAGGCAGAAGCACTCTAACCTCAATGGGAACAGTCCTAATTATTCGCCTTTTACAACACGGGAATGGAGGGAGGGGGGGGGGGGGGGGGTAGTGGATATATTCTTTATTGTTACAAAATGAGGTCTTTGAATCCACACAGGGAAGAGGTGCAGAAGACAAGACTTCTGGACAGGCACACATTGAGGAAGACCCAGGGTGAGCCTGCATGTGATGACAAGGAATAGGACAACTTTGCTTCACTGGAGAAGAAGAAGACTATTCACATCAACTGCCTGCTTTCTCAGTTCCCTCATCAGGTGTCTTTGTGGTGAAGTGATCAAACCGTTTGCTTCACGCTCTGAAGGTTGTGGGTTTGTTTCACGGCTGCGTTTCTCAGTTCACAAATGTAATTTCCATGGAGAGCCTTATGAACTGTCGCTGGAGTTAGTGTTCCTGCTTTATGTGACACTCTCAGTAAGCAGTTAGCTGTTCTGTGGCGAGAAACCCAGCTAAACAGGGCAAACCCCACTGTAATGAAGTCGATCCTCTCAACTGTAACCTTGAACCAATGTACCCTCATCTGAACAGGATCGTAGGCTACAAGGTGATACCCTTGGGGCATCAAGCACATTCATTCATTCACTGTCTTGTTGTGCCATGATATGTCACATAAGACACAGTCTACTCCTCCACTCTGTTCTATCCTGTGCAATCAGTTCAATATCATGGATGGAATCCAGTCCAGCAGCTTTGGCCTCTCTCATCAACATTCATCTCAGGGTTTCTTGTGGGCGTCCTCGCCTCCTTAATCCCTTCATTTCCCATTTTAATGCCCGTTTGATGATTCTCTGCTGGTTTCTTCTCAGGATGTGTCCACTGTAGCGCCATCTTCTCTGTCTTATAACTGTTGATACAAGTGGCTGCCCAGATATTTTCTGATTTCTTCGCTCCTTTTGAATTTATCCCATTTTATTTTCATAATTTTCCTCAGATATTTTTTTCTCAAACCAAGCATATGTTTTAAAAAAACATAAGTCAGATCTGTAAAACAGATGTTCCCACAACACTCAGGTTCTGGAACAAGTCCAGAGGTGGATGAACAACCAGAACTTTCCGCCAGTGTTTACAGCCAGTGAAGAAGAAGAAGAAAGAGAAGGAGGGAGAGCAGAAGGAGGAAAAGAAGAAGAAAACTCATACTCTTAGCTTTTACAGGTGCCCTAATGATAACTTCTCTGGAGGTTGAACAGGTATTTGGGATCTGCCGTCCAGAATGAGATTATTTAATATCATAATGGCATGTTGAAATTTTAGGTAGCAGCTAGGAGGGGGGAAATCAATCAGAGTAAAGTAAAAGGCCATTCTATGCCAAATAGTAGGTAAAAGTTATTTGTATATCCTTTACAGGATGCTGCAAAACCAAACCCGCCTTTGTTGGGCTGTTGCCGTTTTTCTTGGCACATTTTTACATTCAGTACTTTACCACTGCATTCTGAATGGTCAGATCTCAGCACCACTATTGAAACCAACGCAAGACAAATCATCCACAGCTGGGATCAAACCCAGCACCCCCGCATTACGAAGTGCGCTCTCAACACACAAGCCACAGACCCCAACATTGGGTATTTGATGCTAAACTAGTATTTTCTTAGAACTAACCACGTAGGTGGTCAACTGGGCTCTCCTTTGAATAACGGTCCCAAATGATCTACGCAGAAAGTGAACCTAAACAGAGCCTCACTCATATCTAAAATTCGCATTTCTTTTGCGGCGAATCAACCGTGTCAAAAGTAGGATTAATTGCGCACGGCATTTACGCGAAACGCAACGGATATTTTTACGGCGATTACACGGCGGCAAAACTAGGATTAACTACAGACAAGAATACTCCTGATAGCGCTATCCTACGGCAGGGCCAGAGTTATATGTAAGTTGCGGACCGCTTTTCGCCGACTATAGTGCCACCTCCGAGGTTATCACCCGCGCCGCTACACGCGGCACGGAAGGGGCTAAACTAGATGGCTAGGACTCACGAGCAGCAGCTACCACAGCTCCTGCAGCTTTCTCCAATACATTTGCTCGTGAGTCCTAGCCATCTAGCTTAGCCCCTCCCGCGCCGCACGTAGCGGCGCAGGGGATACTCTCGGAGGTGGCACTATAGTCGCCGGAAAAAAAGTCTACAATTTACAGGAGCTACTTCTTCTGTCAGAAGTACCAGCGTGCTCGCATTCGCCACGGTCAAGTGGTGGTCGGGATAGTGGAGTGCCATCGTGGCGGCTGCTGGTTTGAGTTGTCCCAAGGCGTCATGCGCGTACATTAAACCGCGCATTTACATCATGTCTCGCCCGGAACAAGAATCGCGGACAAGCCCTGCTGAGTTACAATGGCGGACAGCGAGACAGAACAGATATTTTGTGCACTAGTTCCAACTTCTGTGCTACAATTTTCACATATAAAGGATTTAATTTTCGGTAAGTAGTAGACTTTGCTCTTTTCCTTACACTTTTTGTTCCTAATTTTTTCCAAGTTACAGCTTTTAAATGTTTGTAGGGCAGGACGTAACAAGGCTCTGTTAGGGTTAAGTTTCTGCGTAGATCATTTGGGACCGTTATTCAAAGGAGAGCCGAAAAACTGTTATACCAGTGAGTTTTCCCATGTGTCCATGGGGGGGGGGGGTCAGAGGTGAGGGGGGCATTCTGCAGTGGGGGGGGGGGGGGGGGGTTTCATCATGTCTGCACCGACACGACCAAGGCATGACCCAGAGTTCACCGAGACGAATTGATGACAGTAGGAAGTCGTGACTGACAGAGTGGTTCGCTCGTGAAGCCACGAGTCCCGCAAGAACAGGGACTGAACTGAGGACTGAAACAAAACCAGCAGACAGTCAGAAATTGGAGAGTTTGTTTCCAGGATGTGAGAGTGCAGATACTTGTGATAGTTTTAAAGTTAGATTGCAATGTGTTGTGTTTAGACTATAGTGACCTATAGTCCATGTTACAATGTGTTTTGTTAGACAGTAGCAGTATTTCTGTCTTATATAGTGCTCGACATAGATACGTTTTCTGTGTAGCTTGTTCTGTAGGTAGCTGGTTAGGTATTACAGTTAGTCTGGTAGCTAAGATTGGCATGTAGTGGTTGTTGTGATTTCATCTGTCCTCGCTCACTTTGCCCCTCACTCAGCACACTCCACGATCCTGGTGTGGAGTTCAGTTGCGGAGGAAAGAGCTGTACAGAAGTACCGTGGGTTTGGACCTGGGTACTATCAATTGGAATGTGATAGGAGTGAGAGGTGATTTGTAAAGCCCTAAATGCCTTTGTTTCGGATAGGGGTGCACACGACTTCTGAGGCAAACTAATGTCTGTTATTTTGTCCTGTACATTAAAGACTGTTGTGTGCTCTCTAGGTCTTTCACCAGGTTATTTATATAAAAACAAGAAAGAGAGTTTGAGAGATAACTTCTCCCTGTGGTACTCCTTGACGAAACAACACTTTTCTGCTCTGCAGGCCATCAAACTGACTCTAGTTTTCCTGCTGTGTAGGTAGGATTGGATCAATTTTTGCATGTTTCCTTGGATTTAATTTCTCTTCAGTTTTGCAATGAGACCATCTTTCCAGACTTTGTAAAAGCTTGTTTGAAGTCAACCCATACCGCCAGGACCTTTTTCTTCTCTTGGAAGGCATCCTCTACAGCTTGTGACAGGTAGGTGACTTGGTCTTCTATGCTGTGATATAGAGAAATGTCCGGCAATCCTGAGAAGAAGCAGAGAAATGATACTGAAATAGGAAGCAAGTGGACTGTTAAAACAAAGATGTCCAAGTGAAACCCTCTAAAAAAAAGTTGATGAGAGAGGCCAAAGCTGCTGGACTGGATTCCATCATTGGTGTGGAAACAATTGCACAGGATAGAAGGCA